CACTTAGTATGAAGAATAAGAGTCGAGATTTAAGATCTTTGAGTCCAGCTTTACAATAGCATATGGCAACTCCCAGGCAAATGGCACAATACTTGACATTTAAAGTTGAATCACATAAAATCAGATGACATTAGCTCTCCAGAAGACAGACAAGAGACTATTTTGTAAACAGAAACTGAACAGCAGACACTTAAAGAATTCAGAGCTGCACTTCAGTTCTCTGAGCTCCACAGGCTACGATAGCCTATAAGCCATTATTGTCTTCACAGTAACCTTTCCTCTTAACACAGAGCTTTGCTTTGAGAAGCGCAAGCAGTAGCCCTCAAAGCCACAAGGACAGAGCTGTCATCTCGCTGAGAAAGTCTTGGCCTCTAAGCTGAGGCTGGAAACAGTTTCCTTCAACTGGATACATGAAGCTCATTTTGATGGACAGACGTTGATACCTATTGTTAATCAGACAAGGCACTCTGCTCAACACCCTTGGCTTTCATCATTAATGGAGTCAATCAGGTACTCCAACAAATAATTGATCTTATGCTAAGGCAGCCATCTAAAACTGACCAAAAGCACAGTGTTCTAATTACCTGCCTCACCCATCTTCTCTCCCTTAACAAAAGAATACTAAGTAACTAGCTTAGATCCAACTACAGTACAGGCATTTAAATCAAGCTAGTCCCAGCCCAAGCATCCCTACACATCATTCACTCGGTTTCCTAAAAGGAGGCACTTTGTTTTTTGTATGCCTAAACAACACAACAGCTACAGGCTGTGCCTAATGTCCCTTTGAGGTCCATTTCCTTGCAGTAAGTTCTCTTAAATGCTGGAGCGTTTCCACCAGCAGGCCAGCTCAGGACTGCTGCAGAGGTTCCAGCTGAAAGTTTGGTTCAGAAAAAAGAGAGGCTGCCTTCCTTTACTATCAGGCCACTGCAACAGGTGCATAATCCAACAGCCATACACTTTCCCAAAGTGTCCTGGGTGACGAGTTGACAAAAAGCTGGCCCAAATGAAAGACATCTGAAGAATCAATAACCCACTAAACAATCTGCTGGATGGACTATTTTCTGGCAAGGGTTATCTTGTGAAGGGTCCAAGCAGAGCTGAGTAGCTGCAGAAATTGATTTGTGAGTGATACAAATGATTCCCTTCAAGCACAGTCACAGGAAATATCGTAATTTCAGACATAATCCTCCTCTTCCTCTGCACAGTATCTTTAGTCTTAAAAAACAAAAAAAATCCCATTGCTTTCAGGCTTATCTCAGTACTAATTTTCCCCAACCCTCAATTCCTACCATGCTCTTTCATGACTTAGGCCGATCATGTGGTGACTACAGCTACCTGGTACTACCAAACCTAGAAGCCTGAGTGCACAGCAATCCCCAGCGATTATCTGCTCCGTTATCCTGCCAATGAACTCCAGAATCGAGAGAAAAGAACACCGCTTTTCATCTGAAAGAATGAAGATTAAAAACTCAGTTTGAATATCCAAAATGATGGAAGAAGGATAGACGACAAGAACAGCCTGTGCTGCTCTGGGAGTGCTGCAGGCATTTTTCTGCCTGAGGGCTCTGGAGGCGTGGCTGTTCCTCCCTAACCAGAGCATTTCAGTAACAAAAAGGCATTCTGGGCAGCCCTTACATCCCAGCTTGCTACTCAGAAGAGACAGACTTAATTAAGTATCACCAGAGCTTGTCAGCCTCTAGCCAACCTTCCTAGAAGAAATCTGGGGAGAGTTGACCGGAGCAACTCTGATTCCCAGGACAACCGAAATGCACAAAGTCTCTACAAAGACATGCCAAAGTCAGTTTGCTTCCAGCCTTTGCTCCTGGCAGGAGCAGCACTACCTGCTCCACTTCCTTCCTCTACTCAAGGAAGTCTCTCAATTTCAATGGACAGGCAAGAAATAGTGATACTTTCAGCTTGTAACCTAGGAGAGGTCAGTACGGTCTATAGAACATTGCCAGCAATGCCCACTGCACAACCTAAATGAGACAAATAGGTCACCTTCAGCCAGCTGACATTTGACTTCATTACACAAAATGCCACCACCACAGCTGGTACCATCCCATAGGCTTTGCCGGAAGCTAGGCTGCAGAAGTCAAGAACCAGCCTACTCTCCCCTGGGGATGGTGGAAAGCCTCTGGGGAAACCTACGTGTTCTACAACCACTCAGCATTGAAACCAAACCACAGAAATTGAGGCATAACACAGCTTCTGTTCTGTACTAAAATAAATACCAGAAAGTGCTCATCGGTGCTAGATGTGGATTCACAATGTTCACCACATTCATCAGGAGCCTTTCTTCATATGCACTGCTACATCTAAGACTCTGTGATCTTTTTACTCTTGGCTAATTCCTTTATTTTGAACAAATTAATATAGTAAATGCATTTATCGCAACAATGTTTGGGTACACTTGCAAGCAGTAACAATGTGGTTTTATTTAACCAATAACTACACCACCACAGCTACAAGGTCGTGAGAGGGGAATGCTGCCCTTGTGCAACTTAAAGGCAACACGTATTTAAAATGATTTGGCAGTCCTCTAGATAGTGTACTGTGCTGACGCTCTGATGGATGACTACAGATTACATCTGTCACCTGCAGGATACTTTGAACTAGCTGATGGTGCACAGTAATCAGAGAATGGCTTAGGTTGAAAGGGATCTTAAAGACCATTGAGCTCCAACCTCCCTGCCATGGGCAGGGCTGCCACCCAGAAGCTCTGGCTGCCCAGTGTCCCATCCAGCCCGGCCCTGAATGCCTCCAGCAGTGGGGGCAACCAAAGCTTCTCTGGGCAACCTGTTCCATTGCCTCATCACTCTTTAAGTGAAAATTTCCCACTGACATCTAATCTTAATTTTCCATCTTTTAGTTTAAAATCATTCCTCCTTGACAATCACCTCCCTCGCCCTATTGGCCCCCTCTCTATTGATGCAGTTCTGGATACTGTTGGCCTTCCAGGCTGCAAGCACACACTGCTGGTACATGTTCAGCTTTTCATCCACCAGAATCCCCAAGTCCTTCTCCACAAGCTGCTCTTAATCTTTTAGTTCTTCTCTCAGTCTGCAGACATATCTGGGATTGCCCTGACCCAAATGCAACACCTTGCACGCAGACTTGTAGAAACTCACTATGTTCTTGGGGGCCCACTTTTCAAGCCTGTCCAAATACCTCTGGATGGCATCTCTTCCTTCTATTGTGTCAACTGTACCACTCAGCTTGGTGTCATCTACAAACGTGCTGAGAGTGTACAGGATCCCATCATCTATGTCACTGATAAAGGTGTTAATAAATACCAGTCCCAAGACTGCCCTCTTGTGACTGGCCAATCACTGCCCTCTTGTAACTGGCCTCCACCTGAACACAGAACCGTTAACTAAGAGAGAAAGACTGTGTAGGACCACATCAAAGGCCTTGCACAAGTCCAGGCAGATGACATCAGTTGCCCTTCCTCTGTCCACCATAGTTATCACTCCATCATAGAAGGCTACCAGATTGGTCAGACACGATCTGCCTTTGGTAAAGCCATGCATCACCTCCTCATCTTGCATATGCCTTAACCTAGCTTCCCAGATGATCTGCTCTTTAATCTTCCCAAACACAGAATGACACTCACCAAGCCTGTTGATCCCTTCTTCCGTATCTTAAAACGGGAGAGATGTTTCCCTTTTTTCAGTCACAGAGGACCTCACCCGACAGCCATGACTTTTCAAATACGATGGATAGTCATTTGGCAACTACAGCAACCAGTTCCTTCAGAATCCTGAGATGCATGTCACCTGGCCCTATAGATTTGTACACATTTAGTTTCATGAGATGGTCTCAGACGTGTTCTACCCTTCCAGTGGGAAGAATTCTGCTTTTCCAACTCCTGCCTAAAGGTTCAGGGACATGAGAAATGTAGGAAAGCCTGGCAGTGAAGACAGAGGCAAAGAACTCATTAAGAACTTCAGCCTTCTCCATGGAACCTATTTATCAGGAGGAGTACACTCTCCTTTGCCTGTCTCTTATGAACAACATATCTAAAGAATCCTTTCTCGTTATTTTTCACATCCCTAAGTTTAATTTCATCTGCACCTTGGCTTTCCTGATCCCATCTCCACACATCTAGACAGCATCCTTATATTACACCCAATCCACCCACTCATCTCTGCTTCCACTGCTTATATTTTTCCTTCTTCTCCCTCCCCTTGATGAGCACATCCTTTCTCAGCCATGACAGTTTCCTGCCTAATTCGTTTGATTTCTTCTGCTGAAGAACAGAGAGCTCCTGAGCACTCAGAAATGTATGTTAGCACACTGCTAGCTCTGTTCTGTTCCTTTGTTCCTAGAGTTTACCAGAGGATCCCATCCAATAATTCTCTAAACAGCCTGAGGCTTGCTGTCCTGAAGTTCAGGATCCTGACTCCACTCTTTGTCAGGCCCGTGATCCTCAACATCACAAAATCAACCACACCACAGTTGCTGCAGCCCAGACTGCCTTCAGTCTTAACCTCTTAGATGAGCTCCTCTGCATCGGTGAGCACAGGGTCCAGTAACGCTTCACCTCTAGCTGGTATGTCCAATACTCGGACCACGAAGTCAACTTCAACAGGCTCCAGGTGTCTCCTGGATTGCTTCCATCTTGTACTCAGAATAAGGCAGAAACCCCACAACTGTGCTACAGTGTATTAGCCATTTTTTGAATAAAAATGACTTAACCCACACCCTGCAGCCTTTCAGCCCAGTCTCAGACACTTTTTCCTCTTTTTCATGCCAGCCTTCTGGCCAAAGCACCCAGCTCCCTGTCCCCACAGCAGAGAGGCAGATGCAGGAAACTTTTACAAGCTCTAACTCTTTGCAGTTGAGTGCAACATAAGTCCCAGAAAAAGTGTGATCCCTGCACGTAACAAGCATGCATTTAGCTAAATCGGGGCTCTCATTTCTGGACCAGATCTCTCTTGTGGGGTGACGGAGCACCTCCCTGAACACAACAGAGGTGAACGACGTTACCCACTCACCTCTACGCACAGCCCCGAGCCTCAGCTCGGCCCTCCCGGGTGCCCCGCTCCAGCTCTGCGAGCCCGGCCGTTAAAAGGGCAGAGCCGCGCGGCAGTGCGCCAGATCCGGCACTTCGGACACACTCAACCCGCGTGTGGGGAGCAACCCAAACACGGACCGACCCCACGGCCCAGCCGAGCGCCCCTCACCTGCCGCCAGCCGGCCACACCCCAGCAACAAACAGGAAGCAGCGCCGAACCTCACTTCCGCCCCTACTTTACATCACTTCCGCCCTACTTAGAAAGCCCCTCTGTCTCTGGAGCGCTCGGCTGACGCGAGGGGAGGGGGGTGGGGATACGCATGCGCGCGGGGAGGGTGGGGAGAGAGGCGCGAGGCGCGAGGCGCCTGGCAGGAGGGGCGTTCGTCGTGTTGAGGCGTCTTGCAGTCCTAGCTGTGTTCAGTCTCTGCCCCCGCAGAGCCACATGTCACGTTCCTTGTCCTGCATGTGCCCTCTCTGGCACTTCTATGCCTCTGCTGGCATTCTTTGTTGGGTAGCTTGCCAGCCTGACCCAAGTCCCAGAAGAGCTCTGTACTGCTGCTGGGTGTGGGGTGAGGGAGGCTGTGGGCTGCCATCACAGCACTTTGCTTCTGTGAACAGTGAGGGGAGAGGGTGCTGGTACAGCTTGCAGCCTTGTCCTCACCCGTGTGTTGTGGAGTCATCATTTGAGAGAAAACCCCACAGACGGAATTTGCTTCTTTCTGCCCGCAGCCCTGCTTCTGTGTCATGCTGTGTGTCTGCTGCCAGGGATCTGCTGCTGAGCACGGCAAACAAAAAGGAAATCTCTGACTCATATACTTGCTTGTTTTCTCTCCAGTGCTCGTGTTTGAGTTGAGCGATTTAAAATCTGGCTTTATAAAATAGTGAATGTTTTATTCTTTTTTTTTTTTTTTAAAGCACATTCTCCCAGCTTGTTCTCGTGTTGCTTTTATACTCCCTCAATGTGCACATTCAAGCAATCAAGTTCCTCCAGCACAAATATTCATGGAAAGTGTATCTCAGTACTGCATCCATACATATTAAAAACACTTTGAGGGAGTGTATGCTACACGTGACAGAAGTATTTGCATGTGCCTCCACTTCAGGATCAGAAACAATTCTTCAAGAGTTACTTCAACAGTTGTACCTTACCACTCTTTAAATAGCAAATACCAGTTTGTGAGTGCACACAGGGAATGCTAGTGACTTATACATAGAATTAAAAACAGTGCACCAGAGGAAAAAAAAAAAAAAAAAGAGGGCACTTCTCTTCGAACACAGTGAATACGTTTGAAGAAATCAGGGTCTGCTCATGCATATTCAACTTGAGGAAAAAGGGTAAATCCATTACCTAAATGCCTGTTGCAGATTTCTGGCTCGGTCCTGCTCCATCACAAGGGAAAGCGCAGTCAGAGATGCTTGCTGCAGGCTGCTGGGGAGGAGCGGTGTTGGACCTCGCAAACCCCAAAGCAGATGAGCGGCTGCAGCTTGGGCATGGCAGAGCCTCACCCAGGTGGTGGCCTTGTGATGCTTTAATGATGGGGCTGGTAAGGCCTGTCAGTATGCAGAGTGTAAGGGCAAAAGGCCTAAGAACTCTGAGCTTGGCTAAAAGCTTTGAAAACTCTCTGTAGGGGAGGGAGGAACGTAAAATCATGCCAAAACTCAAAGCAGACAAAAAAGGAGATCTAGCAAAGCCTGAGCAAGGAGCATGTGTGTGGGTGTCAGGACCTGTCAGAGACAAAATAGGGAAGCGGATGTAAGAAGCAACAATCCAATCTATTCTGATCCATTTTTATTTATGTACTGGTGATGGAAAGGCCTCCAAATGCTTTCTGCTGCTCAGATAAAAATCCAATTCTGCATTTTTAAAATATAATATGAAGCAGAAGGTGGAGGCAGGCTGATGCAGCCTCTTCCCATGTTCCCCTCCCAGCCATGCTGAGGATGAGGAAACAGCAGGTCTGTCAAATCCCTTAGTGTGAGGCAGGAAGAGAGTTCACAGAACTGGATAGAGGGAAGAGAGTGAGTGTTAGGCTGGGGAGACAGAGAGATGGATCGGCAGAAGAGCAGCAGGGACTTGGAAAGCCCAATGTAAGAAGTGACAGCAGCATAGCAGTGCACTGGACAAAGCACCAGGGAGACTGCATTAGTAGGTGAGATGCCATAAATCATAATGAACTCTTGTGTAACCCTGTCACACATCAGACATCTTCCTTGTGCCAACAAGACCTAACTGACTGGGAATGTGTAGGTGTTACCAGCACAGAAATAATCTGGAAGCAAAATGGGAGTGCAGTGGCTATGTGTCACCATGGGTGAAGGCATGCAGGCAGGCTGGGGATATGGTCTCTGGCTGAATGCTTCTCTGAGCCCACTCAACTGGCAGGGAGAGGCTGAGTAGTACTGTCTCCAGCCAGGGGGGCAGTGCACATGGTTTCCTGTCTGTCCTTAATATTTGCATTTCATAACATCTCACTGCATAATCTTCTGTGATACTGAGGATGGGATCCCTGAGGAGCTGACTGACACATCCACCAAACTCTCCCTTTCTCTGCTTTGTGCTGGCAAGTTTTAGCAAAGAAAAATAAAACCAGGCACAAGATTTTTCTTCCCCAACAAAGGGAATGCTATTAAGCACTGTTGCCCAGGTGAGGGAGGATTTAGACAGAGGTCTTTCTTCCCATGCAGCCAGTTAGATGTCAGTTTTCATAGGTTGCAAAAAGAAGCATTGAATGGTGTGCCAAGTCATGCATGACAGTGTTTCAGGGGCTTTGCAATTAGGAAATGCACTAGCTGCTGGTTTGGAAAATGCCTTCCAGCTTTCCCAGTGCCATTCCCCAAGTCGATACCAACAGGAAACACTAGTCAAGGTTGCTGCAAAGAGATCCTGCTTATGCACTTTCAGGCACTTAGTTCTGCCGTGGCAGGGTAGTGACTCAGACCCTCCCTCACCCTCAGGGTAGACCTGGCTTTGCCCTTGGCCTGTGGGAGAAATGAAAGAGATTGTTCCCACTGCTCTTCTTGCAGGCTGCACAGAGGCTTTGCACGCTCGGCTCTGCTGTCCGTACAGATCCTCACTGTGAGCAGTGGGGCTGATCCAAAGCAGCTTGGGGCACTTGTCTTCTCCCTGCTTTCCCTCTGGAGTGCTTATTCTGTCTGTTAGCTTTTCCATCACAGTAACATTCAGGCCCTTCCACTACATCCAGAACTCACGTAAAGGCATATATTTCTTGACTGCAATACACAGACTGATCACTCATCTACTGTTGTGGAACAGCCACCAATTTATGTGCAAGAGCCAGCTCTTTTAGTTTCACACCAATTTATGTGCAAGAGCCAGCTCTTTTAGTTTCACATTGTATTTCAACTCATTTTCACTTTTCTGAAACTGCATTTTTCCACCAGAGTGCTCTTTCTTGAGGAAAAAAACCTAACACCCAGCCTTCAAAACATTAAATTAATTTGCTCTTTCTCTTGCTGCAGTATCTTTTACTGAGCAAAGTCACCTTGGGCAAGTAATTAGTGCCTCACTTTCCTCACTGAAAAATGGAAACAATAATATTTTTCCACCTTTGATATCTTTAGGATGGAAAATATTGCTGCTTATTATTTATTACAATGTTTTACACCAAAATTTAATAACATAAAACTCAGAACCTGAAGGGAAAATGCAAAAAGGGAAGGTGAGTGGAATACAGAGTGCTGCTGTGACTGTGTATTTTGAAGATGCCGGAATTTTTTTGTAGCCCATTGAATAACATTTGTCAAACATGCAAGCAGAGCTGGCTGAGCTGCTTCTGCACAAGGTCAGGGGAAGGCCAGAAAAGAGATAGGATCTTACTCCAGACTTCCCCAGAGTTTTGCAGTTCCTTAGATCTGAAGAGTTTTGCTACTGCAGTTAAGCATAGGATTAAATTCACCTAATGTTTAGAAGTGTCTGGACATCAGGTTTTGCTCCAGGCCTTACTCTGATGTTTTGCGTTATTTCTGTGGTGTTGTCTTAGGAGAGCAGGCAGGAAACTGCTTGGACATCTCTTCCTTTTTCTGTGTCTGGTGACAACTGGCACCTCCTCAGTGCTCAGTCCTCACAGAATGCTGAAATTACACATTACTAAATGATGCTCTATCGTTTGGGAAACAGTAATCTGCTAAGCACTATTACTTTTTTTAGGAAGCTATAGATGCTTTAAGTACGACATTCAGTATTTCTGTTACCCCTGAGTGTTGTTACAGGGAACTAAAAAAACAGCCACCTATCCTCTTCGCAAGCTTTCTACTGACTCAGATTGTGCAAGACATTTCTCCCACGGGAGGCACGTGCCTCCCCTCAAACTGCCTTACCCTACTAAGGAAGATTTGGGATAAGATGCAGTGAAATGGAGCAAACTAGAGCCTGAAATTGACAAAACTGTGGCCATCTCTCACTGTTCCTTCCTCTCTGCCGCTCCTCTTGTAGTCTCCTTTTCATCCAATTCTACTTCACTTTCCTCCTCCTTGCCCCAAACTCACAGCTTGAAACACCACTTGCCAGCATCATCTTACTTATCTTTCCTAAGTGCCAAAGCTCTTATGAGACCCCGTGCTCTCACTGTCCATCAGACTGCTGCTTTTTCTCCAAGGCACAGCTGCTGCAGCACTTCATGTAGGGCTCAGGCTGTGGCAGTTTGCATATGCGCAGTAAATTGTCTTTGCTCACTTAAAAAAGAAGAAAAAGAAAACAAAAAGAAAAAAAAAGCACAGTTAGGAAATTATGTCACATCTGAGGAATAAAGTAAACAAACAAAAATAGACAAGAGAATACAGAATAGAAGCTCCCTAAGGTGGAACACAGAAGGGGAAGGTGTTTCATGCACGATCTTTTATTTTGTGGTTCCTTTCCACATCCCCACAGCACCCTCTCCCACGTGAGTCCTGAGCAGACCTGACCTTGCTGAACATGTGAGATCTGACAAGAGCATGGCACACAGCAGGATGGCTGCAGGCTAATGCTTTTATTTTTGTAACCGTGTATTCCTAAAAGCATGATAACAAGAGTTAGGGATCAAATCCCTGCTTCTTGCGTAACTGAACATAATATTCCCAC